TTCTTTTCATTGCATCTATATGAGAAGACGGAATTAGCTGTTATCTATTGTGGTGATCATTTCACAATATATGTAAATCAAACCATCAAGAGGTAGGCCTTAAACTTTACAGTGATGTATGTCAATTATATTTCAATAAAACTGGAAAAAACAAAAACAAATTCTTCAGCATGCCCCTCCCACTCCTTCCCAACTTGTGGCTTTATTCCCTACCAGTGGCTGACAGGGTTTCAACTCCTGGAATGCTTTCTTTCCCTCTTCCCCTTAACTCCTACTCTTCCTTCAGAGCTCCATCTTTCCTAACCCTCCAGATCAAACTCCCCATCACAATCCTTTGCCACCAGGCCCAGCAGACTGAAAACTTACCTTTTTTGTCTTGGACCTTGGGTGAGGTATTCTTCCAACAATCTATGACAGAATGAATGATAGTTTGTCTCCAGCACTGCATGCCCCCAGGGAATCTGTAAAAGACGTGTTTTGTTTTGTTTTTTAAGATTTATTTATTTGACAGAGAGAGGGCACAAGCAGGGGGAGCAGCAGGCAGAGGGAGAGGGAGAAGCAGGCTCCCCACTGAGCAGGGAGCCCGATGCGGGGCTCAATCCTAGGACCCTGAGATCAAGAGCAGACGCTTAACCAACTGAGCCACCCAGGCGTCCCTAAATGTTTAAATTTTAAGTGTTCAAGACAGGAGAAACATGTCACTTCCCCCATCAGGACATTGCATCTACACAGCTGCCTGGCTTGAGTCCCTGTGCCACAGATCTGACCTTCCTGAGACACTATCATATCCCAGTGACAGCTTAATGAGATGGCAACAAATCACTGAAGAGGCACATGTGGGCCCTGATGCTAGGACAGGTCAAGCTCTGCAATTCAGTGGTATAATCATTTAGCCTTAAGTAAAATACAGAAAGAATAGCTATCCTAAATGGATTCCTAATGATACATCATTTTTCTAGTCCCCATATTCAATTTTCAAGTAACACAATATCTTTAAGGATAATTTCCAACTATTGCAGTCCCAACACTGTCATTATTCAAAGGAGACTAGTTTCTTCTTCAAAGCAATACTACCATATATATTCTAGACTTTTCAAAAAGTGGTCAGCTTTTCTGATGTTGGAGATATTCTCTTATAGATCTTTAGTAGCAGCCTTAATAGTATAGAATTTAAATGCATTATATCCTATTCCCCTTTAAAACCTGATATATTATTCATCAAAGGCTTTGAAAGATCAAACTAAAATGTTATAAGCCAAGATATTGGTCTAGAATAAATAAATTGTTTATTTCTGCCATTCATACCTCATAGAAGTAAAATACCCCTAAAAACAGATTGTGCTTGCATGGTAGAGAAAAATTGAACTTTTTAATATTTATTCCCTTTCTATATTTTGTACTATATATATACATCTAATAAAAATAGGGGCTTTTATAAAACAAAGCTTCAGAAGAAAAAATTTTTAAAAGTCACATTTAAAATATATATACATTTGGTATAATAAAGTCATTCCAAATTAGCCTAATTTATGTCTTCATTTATTTCAAGTCCAATTCTCAAATATCTCCATCTACTGTGGAGAAGCCCACAGACATTTTTGGCTGGCAATGTGTTGGATTTCTACGTCATTTTTTTTAAAAAGTGAATAGGCAGTTATTATGCTCAGTGGTAATAACAGCAGTTTAGCTGTGACTTGTGACCTAGACCATCCCTTCATTGTATATATACAAAGAAATAAAAACTCAGATGAATTAAGTGTCTATGAAGACGGCCAGTAAGAGAACCTAGAAACCCAAGTATCCTGACTCCTCACTGCTAAGTTTCTTCAGTACCTACTGCTATGAGGGTATTGATGGCAACAATATTGCTAATAATAGTAGTAATAATGGAAGTGATAACAGTGGAATAGTCATCACGCATTGCTTACCTGATACATACAAGAAGATTTGCATATTATCTCATTAATTTCATATCAACTTTAAAAAAGATCATTTCTTAATTTTTGAAATTCAGTCTTAGACAATGGGGTAAATTGTTTCATTCATCCCACTACACTATCTCACAGAATAACCTCCACTATTTGTGGAATATCTACCATGTGCCTAGAAATATAATATGCATTTTGAATATTTTATTTTTATCCTTAAAGCATCCATAGGAAATAGGCATCATTATACCCATTTTACAGATGAGGAAAGTGAGGCTCAGAGAATTCAAACAAATTGCCCATGGTAGAGTAGAAAGAGCATTAAACTATAACTGGGGCACCTGGGTGGCTCAGTCAGTTGAGCCTCCAACTCTTGATTTCAGCTCAGGTCGTGATCTCAGGGTCATGGGATTGAGCGCCAGATCCAGCTCTGCACTCAGTGTGGAGTCTGCTTGTCCCTCTCCCTCTGCTCCTCCCCCCAACTCATGCTCTCTCTCTCAAATAAAGAAAATCTTTTTAAAAATAAAAAAACTACTCCCTCCCATATAATAAATCCAAATAGATCTCAAATCTAAACAATAACACAAAATGACAAAAATTAAGATTAGGAGAATATGTGTATGATACTGCGGTAAGAATTATATAATTTTTAATAAAATAAGAACTCCAGGAAACATAAAGTAAAAGATTGACATCTGTTCTAACTAAAAACTATTTCTGTGTGGCAAAAGATATCATAAAGTTAGGATGCCATTGATGGGGGGGAGGATATTAAACATACAAAGGAAAGCTTCCAGTTGCCTAAGGTATTTCTACCAATAACTATGAAAAGATAAACAACCTAAAAGAATGTGGGGGCAAAACTTATAAAATAGCAAATCAGAGGGGAAAATATAAAGGCCAATAAATATGAGGAAAAAAATGTTTATACACAGTAGTGGGCTGATAAAAACAAATTGAAAGAGCACAATATCATTTCTGACCCATAAAAGTTGCAAAAACAGCTAATATCCAGTTCTGCTGACCATGCTGAGAAATGAGCTCCAGCTTCTTGCTCTTTGGAGTGAACTCCTGCAGTTGTTTTAGAAAGTAAGTTGATAAAATCTACAAAAATGTAAAACATATCTTTTGACACAAGAATCCCACTTTTGGAACTCTGTAATACAGAAATAAAAGCACCAGTATATAAAGATAAATGCATAAAAATGTTGGTCATAGCATAGTCACCAAGGACACATCTGAATCATCATTCACAAAGGAGTAATTGAATAAATTATGGTACCATCATACTATACGATTTTATGGTGGTAGTGACTTAGCATCTCAATTTCCGTGAGTCTCCACATAAAAGACAGAGCAACTAGGTAGAAAAACCCAAAAGTCTTGGATAACATTTACAACAAAATGAGGTATATCAAGGTATTCCATGAACCCAAAATATAAGTGGATGAGAAAAAAAC